TACAAGCCCCTCCTATTAACCCCTGAACTCACCCCTGATGCAGTCTTGCCTGATAACCTCCAGGGTCTTGTCCTGGCTGAAGCCCTTCTTCCGGCTCTCCGCCCGGAGGTTGTCGTCGATCTTGGAGCGGACGAAGTAGAACTTCTTCCTCATCCGCTGGATGTGTGTGGCCAGCTGCACGTTGCAGGACTTGAAGCGGTCGCAGGCGATGATGATGAAGAAGTCGTACTTCTCGAACCCCACCTGCTGCAGGTACTCGTCGGCCTTGAAGGTGGGCGTCCCGATGCCCGGCAGGTCCCAGACCGTCACCCTGGGGTGCTTGGGGTGGGGGTAAGCGGTGGGCTCCATGGTGGTCTCCACCACGCCGGTGGGGGCGGAGCCCTCGTCCTCGTCGCCCAGCCCGCGGAAGGCGTTGACGAGGGTGGACTTCCCGGAGCCGGACTCGCCGGTGATGGCCACGCTCAGTTCCACCTGCTCCAGCGCGGACAGGTAGGCCTGGATCTTGGCGGCGGCGCCAGCCAGGGTCTCGTCCTCCAGAGCCCTGCGGATCTCGCTCACCTCGTCCTCGGTGATCTCCTCGAAGTCGCCCATGCTGGCCTGGGGAAGCCGGGGGCGTCAGGGTGAGGACTGGGCAGGCGCGGAGGGTTTTGGCCCCACCCGCCCGACCGTGGCGCCCCCACCTGGGGCAGAAGGAGGGATTGCGGGGCGACTCAGTGCCGAACAGCGAACTGCACACCTGGCTGGGGGCCTGAGGGGTACCTGGTGCAGGAGCTCTCCTTGCCTCGCCTGTTGCTCGAATTGCTCGTTTCCAAGCACCTAAACCGCACGGATGTCGAGATGAGCTTCTGACGAAACTGGGGCAGGAGGTCACTGTAACCGAGACCTGAGGGTTTACGCAAAGGGTGGTGGGAGCATGGGACAGGCACGGCCTGTAGACAACGGGGACAGCGCTAGCGGCGCTCCGACGGGAGATAACAGACAGATATCAGATCAGACAGGCGTCTTGTCGCACACAAAATCCCGACACAGTAAAGCCCCGCATACCCCGTGCACGTAATGTCGTGTTCGTGGAACACAGCGGAACCCGTTTTTAAAAATTATTATTTAACCGCTCGGTCGATAGATATTCGTAGATCGTTTAGCTTTCCTCTTTCGTCTTTCCTTTTCCTTTACAGTCGCTGCGTTTCAACTGTTCGTTCGCCCTTGACGTGATTTAGAAAACACGACCCGCTCTGCGTCTTAGAGACGGGGACTTCGTGGCGTCCAGCCCAGTGAGCCGAGACCGGAACCTCTTCTCAGAACCCCGCTGAACCCCACAGCTCTTGGGCGCAACCGAACTCCGAACCGGACCGATCTGCGGTCGATGAGTGACAGGACAGAAAGTTAGAGACTTACCGAGTGCGGCTCGTTGTCAGTAAACGCTGCTGGCCCGAGTACAGGAAGCGACCGGGTTGTAGCTCCCGGACTGACCGCAGTCTCCCCGCCCATAAGTTCACATCTCTGGTACATTAAGAAAGTCAAAAGTGCAGCACGACCAGGTCACGCTGTGTAGTCTGAAAGGTTTAGGTTTCCTTTAAAACACGAAGAGTATCTCCTTACTAACAGCCCAACATTTTGCCCCAGTAAAGCAAGATTGCTTGTGCTCTGTACTGACGTTTCGGTTCCCGCACAGTTTGTACTGTATCTCACCGGGCTTTTTACTCTGAGCTTTTACTCTGATCGCACTGTGATTTACTGCACTGTACTGTGCTTTTACCCTGATCCCACTGTGATTTACAGCACTGTACTGTGCTTTTACCCTGATCGCACTGGGATTTACTGCACTGTACACTGCTTTTACCCTGATCTCACTGGGCTTTTTTGTAAAATAAGATTTAGAAAGAAAATGTGTCCAGCACACATCCTTACTTTAATTTAAGAGGCAACATTTGTTTCAAACAAAGCACTCCACAGACATGTAAGAAAGAAGGAAATGATCTCATTTCCAAGAAATCGAAAGTGAAGGTGTGAACTGATGAGCCTGATGAGCTCTGGGGCTTCTGTCTGCTGTTTACACACCGGGCTAAGCAGGTACACCTACAGTAAAAATAACCCTGCTCCTGCAGATCACGGGGAACAACATGACGGAGTCAGTTCCACACAGGGAGAGGAAAGCAAACAGAGAAAAATACACATTGTTTCAGAGGTGTGCATTACAATAGCGCCAGGAATCCTGCGTGACTTGTGGGCTCACAGTGCACCTGTTACCCGGTCTGAGCAGGTGGCACAGCGCTGAGGCTGAACAGCACTGACTGGAACAGGTTCGAGACCTGCCCTGTCAACGTCTTTACCCGAAGGGGTGTGGGAGTATGGAACAAGCTGCCTGTCGGTGTCACGCGAGCCAGAAAAGGGAGCATCACCAGCAAAGCACTCAAAAGCCTAAACGAGTTTGACCGGCAATGTTGAACAGGGGTCCCCACATTGTTCCTGCTGGTTGTACCCTAAACCTGAGCTGGTCATCAGTGATCATAACTGATCTGCTTAACGGCTTCTGCACTCTGTCCCTCACTGCAAACATCCTTCACTGCAGGTGTATGGATCTGCACAGGTCCACTTGCGCTCATTTCAGTTGAATACAGGCAGGTCTGACACTCAGTGATTGGGCGAGACTGATACCAATTAACCAATCCCATTCAGCCTCCCTTTGTCAGAGGTACAGGTTGTTTCACTTTAAATGTGAAGTGATTTTTTTCCCGCAGTACTGAAGAAAAATATACAAATATAGGAAGACGTCAGTGTTTATAGTATTTATTTTGGATTTTATAAGCAAAACAATACATATGTTTCAATTTGCAGTATAAATATTTCATATTAGGATTATCCAGTCCTGGTCCTGTAGGGTCGGTCAGTGTGTCTGCAGGGCTGTCCAGTCCTGGTCCTGGAGGGTCGGTCAGTGTGTCTGCAGGGCTGTCCAGTCCTGGTCCTGGAGGGTCAGTCAGTGTGTCTGCTGGTTTTCATGTCAGAACACCTTTTAATTAGCACATTATTGTCCTACATGCATAATGATTCTCCCAGCTGCTAAGATGCTGCTGCTATAGAAACACAGACGACCAGCACGGACGGTCATGTGTTTCACAAGATAATCAAGATTTAAAAATTGCCTGGCTGCACCAACCTACTAAATCCCTATTGACATCCGTCCTAATTGGGAATCCCACTCTCTGAGCCCCTGCTCTCAAGACTGAACTCCCTAAACCCTGTAAAAAAACAGGATCCTAAATGTCCATCTGCGTGTCCTTCGTCCCAGGATCGGAGCCCTCCAGCGCCTTGCTCATCACCCTCCCGGCGTCCTCGCTCAGGTCACTCAGGGCAGAGCGCAGCAGCCAGTAGCAGGCAAGGAAGGACACGCCCCCCGAGGTGATGGTGCCCAGGACGGGCACCCTGCTCTCCAGCAGCCCCGCCAGCAACTGCTGCCCCACTGCCACCTGGCTCAGCATGTCTCCCACACTGCTCTCCGACAGCTCCCTGCCAGCACTGGA